GTTATTGATTGTAATTGCTGTTTTAATGTTTTACTGTAATATGAATTATGATGTTTTATTGACTGTATGTGATATTATGGTTGGAAACCGGTCTGAGTCCCTCAAGAGAGGTGAGAAGGCCGGTATACAAAACTTTAGAATAAATAAATAAATTGTATTTGTTATGCTGTTGTTTTATTGAGGGCCTTGGCCTTTGTAAACCGCACCGAGTCCTTCGGGAGATGTTAGCAGGGTACAAATAAAGTTAATAAGCTTCAACTAGTCCAACGCTCGGCAGCCATGATTCTAACAGGAGCGGAGCGCAGGGAGCATACAACCCCCGTGCTGCGCCAACTCCACTGGCTACCGATTTGCTACCGGGCTCAATTCAAAGTGCTGGCGTTGACCTTTAAAGCCCTAAACGGTTCCGGCCCAAGCTACCTATCCGACCGCATCTCTGCCTATGAACCCACTAGGACTTTGAGATCTTCCGGGAAGGCCCTGCTCTTGATCCCGCCTGCCTCACAAGCACGGCTGGTGGGGACGAGAGATAGGGCCTTCTCGGTGGTGGCCCCCCGGCTGTGGAACGCCCTCCCCACGGACATTAGACTAGCTCAATCATTAATGGTATTCTGCAAAAAAGTGAAAACCTGGTTGTTTGAGCAGGCGTTCAAATAGTAAGTGCAATGAATGTAATGAACATAGGAATGGAACAATGGATGACGGATCTGGATCATGTTTTTAGTGATGAGACGCTAGCGAATGGCTATTGGTGTTAATTGCATATTGTTGTTAATTGTATACTTTTCTATAATATGTTATGATGTTAACTGTTTTTTATACTGTGTTATGGTAGCATGGAATTTCTGCTGTTCTTGTTGTGAACCGCTGTGAGTCGCCTAAGGGCTGGGAAAAGCGGTACACAAATAAAGTAAATAAAGTAAATAAATAATAATCCTCGGTTCTTGTGGGTTTTTTTCGGGCTATATGGCCATGTTCTAGAGGCATTTCTCCTCAGAGGATGCTTGCCATAGATGCAGGCGAAACGTCAGGAGAAATGCCTCTAGAACATGGCCATATAGCCCGAAAAAACCCCACAAGAACTGAGTGATTCCAGCCATGAAAGCCTTCGACAATAATAATAATGTTTGTCACCCCGAGTCGCCTGTGGGGAGATGGTGGCGGGTTATAAATAAAGTGTATTATTAATATTATTATTATTATTATTATATGGCAGTGTGGACTCAAGATAACCCAGTTCAAACAGATACTCTGGGGTATAAGGCTGTGTGGAAGGGATTATTATTATTATTATTATTATTATTATTATTATTATTATTATTATTATTATTATATGGCAGTGTGGACTCAGATAACCCAGTTCAATGCAGATATTCTAGGATACAAGGCTGTGTGGAAGGGTCCTGGGTGATATGGCAGTGTAAACTCAAATTCAAAGCAGATACTGTGGATTATCTGCCTTGAATAATAATAATAATAATTGTTATTATTATTATTATTGGGTGGGTTACCTTATGATAATAAGGCACTGCAGGAAGCCCCTGTCACCTGGGGTCCTTCAGATGTATTTTTTGGGAGGGTCTCCCTCCCTTGGCCCCAAATGCTGGCCAAGCTGAACATTTTACCTCATACATTTGGCCCGTCCTCTATGTCTGGTTTCACTATGCTGTTTTATATTATTGATTTTGTTATTTCATATTTTGTTATGATGTATTTTGTTATTGTGTGTTTATTATGTTGTATTATTTTGGGCTTGGCGATCGCATCTCCGTATATGAACCCACACGATCCCTTCGTTCATCCGGAGAGACCCTGCTCACGATCCCACCTGCGTCACAAGCGCAGTTGGTGGGGACGAGGGACAGGGCTTTCTCTGTGGTAGCCCCCCGACTCTGGAACTCTCTCCCCAAGGACATCAGACAAGCCCCAATGTTGGCAGTCTTTAGGAAGAGTTGAAGACCTGGCTGTTCCAGTGTGCCTTTCCAGAATAGGAAACTCCCAGCATCATGTCCCAAACGCACTTTACCAGAGATTTAAGATTGCCTGCACATCGCACCTACCCTAAAATCCTTACATTTCACCTGTCATGTCCAGCACTTTTAATTTATTCATTACATTTGGCCTGGCCCTAGTTTTAAATGTGTCATGATGTATTGTTTTGATGTTTTACTGTTATTGCTTTAATGCAGGGGTCCTCGAACCTTTTAAACAGAGGGCCAGGTCACAGTCCCTCAAACTGTTGGAGGGCCGGATTATAATTTGAAAAAAACATGAATGAATTCCTATGCACACTGCACATACCTTATTTGTAGGTCAAAAAAACACTTTAAAACAATAAAATAATTAAAATGAACAACAATTTTACCAAATATAAACTTATTAGTATTTCAATGGAAGTGTGGGCCTGCTTTTGGCTGATGAGATAGAATTGTTGTTGTTGTTGTGTGCTTTCAAGTCATTTCAGACTTAGGTTGACCCTGAATGAGGGCCGGGTAAATGACCTTGGAGGGCCGTATCTGGACCCCAGGCCTTAGTTTGAGAACCCCTACTTTAATGTTTATTGGTTTGCTTTATGAGTTTTCTTGTTGTATTTGTTACGCTGTTGTTTTATTGAGGGTCTTCGGAGATGTTAGCAGGGTACAAATAAAGTTAATAATAATAATGTTAGTCACCCTGAGTCGCCTTTGGGGAGATGGTGGCAGATTATAAATAAAGTGTATTATTATTATTATTATTATTATTATTATACGGCAGTGTGGACTCAGATAACCCAGTTCAAAGCGGATATTCTAGGATACAAGGCTGTGTGGAAGGGTCCTGGGTGATATGGCAGTGTAGACTCAAATTCAAAGCAGATACTGTGGATTATCTGCCTTGAATAATAATAATAATAATAATTATTATTATTATTGGGGGGGGGGGAACAAATAAGATGTTATGATTAGGTTCTTGTGGGTTTTTCCGGGCTATATGGCCATGTTCTAGAGGCATTTCTCCTGACGTTTCGCCTGCATCTATGGCAAGCATCCTCAGAGGTAGTGAGGCTGTTGGAATTAGGAAAATGGGTTTATATATCTGTAGAATGGCTGGGGTGGGGCAAGGAGCTCTTCTCTGCTGGAGCTGGGTGTGAATGTTTCAACCGACCACCTTCATTAGCATTTGAGGGCCTGGCTGAGCCTGGGGGAATCTTTTGTTGAGAGGTGTTAAGATGTGCCTGGTTGTTTCCTCTCTGCTGTTTTGCTGTTGTAATTTTAGAGTTTTTTTAATACTGGTAGCCAGATTTTGTTCATTTTCATGGTTTCCTCCTTTCTGTTGAAATTGTCCACATGCTTGTGGATTTCAATGGCTTCTGTGTGTAGTCTGACATGGTGGTTGTTGGAGTGGTCCAGCATTTCTGTGTTCTCAAATAATATGCTGTGTCCAGGTTGGTTCATCAGGTGCTCTGCTATGGCTGACTTCTCTGGTTGAAGTAGTCTGCAGTGCCTTTCATGTTCCTTGATTCGTGTTTGGGCAATGCTGCATTTGGTGGTCCCTATGTAGACTTGTCCACAGCTGCATGGTATACGGTAGATGCTTGCCATAGATGCAGGCGAAACGTCAGGAGAAATGCCTCTAGAACATGGCCCTATAGCCCGAAAAAACCTACAAGAACCTATTGATTCCAGCCATGAAAGCCTTCGACAATACATTGAACAATTTTACCAAATATAAACTTATTAATATTTCAATTGAAAGTATGGGCCTGCTTTTGGCTGATGAGATAGAATTGTTGTTGTTGTTGTTGTGTCCTTTCAAGTCATTTCAGACTTAGGTTGACCCTGAATGAGGGCCGGGTAAATGACCTTGGAGGGCTGTATCTGGACCCCAGGCCTTAGTTTGAGAACCCCTACTTTAATGTTTATTGGTTTGCTTTATGAGTTTTCTTGTTGTATTTGTTACGCTGTTGTTTTATTGAGGGCCTTGGCCTTTGTAAACCGCACCGAGTCCTTCGGGAGATGTTAGCGGGCTACAAATAATGATGATAATAATAATAATGTTACTCACCCCAAGTCCCCTTTGGGAAGATGGTGGCGGGTTATAAATAAAGTGTATCATTATTATTTTTATTATTTGGCAGTGTGGACTCTGATAACCCAGTTCAAAGCGGATATTCTAGGATACAAGGCTGTGTGGAAGGGCCCTGGATGATATGGCAGTGTAGACTCAGATTCAAAGCAGATACTGTGGATTATTTGCCTTAAATAATAATAATAATTATTATTATTATTGGGGGGGGGGGAACAAATAAGATGTTATGATTAGGTTCTTGTGGGTTTTTCCGGGCTATAGGGCCATGTTCTAGAAGCATTTTCTCCTGACGTTTCGCCTGCACCTATGGCAAGCATCCTCAGAGGTTGTGAGGTCTGTTGGAACTATGAAAAGGGGTTTATATATCTGTGGAATGACCGGGGTGGGAAAAGCTCTTCTCTGCTGGAGCTAGGTGTGAATGTTTCAACTGACCACCTTCATTAGCATTTGAAGGCCTGGCTGAGCCTGGGAAAATCTTTTGTTGAGAGGTGTTAAGATGTGCCTGGTTGTTTCCTCTCTGCTGTTTTGCTGTTGTAATTTTAGAGTTTTTTAATACTGGTAGCCAGATTTTGTTCATTTTCATGGTCTCTGTTGATAATAAGGCACTATAGGAAGCCCCTGTCACTTGGGGTTCCTTCAGGTGTGTCTTTTGGGAGGATCTCCCTCCCTTGGCCCCAAATGCTGGCCAAGCTCCCCCTAACCAGCCCCAGGTGGAGAGAGGGGCGTGCCCTTCCTCCTTGTGGGCGTGTCCTGGTTAAGAGGGGGCGTGTCCCTGCGAGGCCCCTCCCCTTTGTGGGCGGGGCCTGCCTCCCCTCCTGAGGGGCCCCACCAGAGTGAGGGGCCCATAGTACCGAGGGGCCCCCTCCCCGCTGAGGCCCGCTTCTATCTCCTTCCCTCCCTTCCCTTCCCTTCCCTCCGGGAGAGCCACTCACCGCCACGCCGCGGCCCGCTCTTCCTCCTCCTCCTCCTCCTCCGGCCAAAGAGACCCCCACATAGACACTCACACAGGCTCCTCTCAGGGCGGCGCGGCGACGTCACAACGCACGGCGACGTCGGCACGCACGCTCCCCGCCGCGCGCATGCGCCGGACTCCCTCCCCAAGCTACCTCACCCGCCTCCTTCCCTCCCATTGGCCCTGCTTCCAGACATACATCTCCAGGAACCAATCGGAACGTCTTAACAAAAAAAAAAAAAATCTCCAACTTCACCATCCAATCGAAAGCCGGTCTTTCTTTATAATATCCCGCCTCCGTGGCTCAGATAGACGGCTGTATTGGCCAATAAAAACGTTGCTCAGGATTTCAGCTTCCAATAGGAAAGCGCTTTCTGTTCTTTAGACCTCCCACCAAGTCCTCTTCTTTAAACCCTATCTTTCTTTATAATATCCCGCCTCCGTGGCTCAGACAGACGTCTGCACTGGCCAATAAAAACGTTGCTAAGGATTTCAGCATCCAATAGAAAAGCGCTTTCTGTTCTTTAGACCTCCCACCAAGTCCTCTTCTTTAAACCCTATCTTTCTTTATAATATCCCGCCTCCGTGGCTCAGATAGACGTCTGCACTGGCCAATAAAAACGTTGCTAAGGATTTCAGCTTCCAATAGGAAAGCGCTTTCTGTTCTTTAGACCTCCCACCAAGTCCTCTCTCTTTTTTGAGCTCCCTTCAACTTTTTTTCCCTATTTCCCCGCCCCTTGATTCCCATTCCGCCAATGAGATGTTGATAAGGGCGGGTTTTGCCCGCGAGGTGTTGCCTGAGCGGCCAATGGGAGGCGAGGGGAAGGCATGGGGGCGTGGCTTGGGGCGTGGCGTTAGTTTTCTCCTCAGGAGGAAGAACCACGCATGCGCGTTACATTTTCCCGCCCAAAACTCCTCCTCACACAAAACTCCGCCTTTAATTCGGTTTAAAGTTCCAAACATCTCAAGTTTGCCTCACCAAACTACAACTCACATTATTCTAGGCCATTCTGCCAGGAAAGTGGTGTCAAACCGCATTAATTTTGCAGTGTAGACGCATCTCTGGCAAACTAAAAGGATCTCAATGATAATAATAATAATAATAATAATAATATAATAACTAATATTAATAATAATATAATAACAACAACTAATAATAATAATAACAACTAATAATAATAATATAATAAAAATAATAATAACAACTAATAGTAAGAATAATATAATAATAATAACTAATAATAATAATAACTAAATAATAACTAAATAATATAATAATAATAACAACTAATAATAATATAATAATAATAATAACAACTAATAGTAACAATAATAATAATAACAACTAATAATAATAATATAATAATAACACCTAATAATAATATAATAATAAATAACTAATAATAATATAATAACAACTAATAATAATAATATAATAATAACAACTAATATAATAATAATAATAACTAATAATATATAATAATAAATAACAACTAAGAGTAAAATAATATAATAATAATAACTAATAATAATAATAATAAATAATAACTAAATAATATAATAATAATAACAACTAATAATAATATAATAAAAATAATAATAACAATAATAGTAAAATAATATAATAATAATAACTAATAATAAATAACTAAAATAATAATAAATAATATAATATAATAAATAACTAATAATAATATATAATAATAATAATAATAGTAATAATATAATAATAATAACTAATAATAATATAATAATAACAAACTAATAATAATAATAATAATAACAATAATATATATATATAAATAAAATATAATAATATAATAATAACAACTAATAATAATAATAATATAATAATAACCTAATAATAAATAATAACAATAATAATATAATAATAATAAATATAATAAAAACTAATAAATAATATAATAATAATAACAACTAATAATATAATATAATAATATAATAATAACAACTAATAGTAATAATATAATTACTATTAATATTAATATATTTAATATTAATATAATTAATAATATTGTTATTATTAATTATATAATAATAACTAATAATAATAATTAATATTATTATTAATAATATATTTAATATTAATATAATTATAATAATATTCCCCCAGGCAAAAAGATTCCCCCCAGGCACTTCCAAGCCATTGAATGCTAATCAAAGTGATCAGTTGAAACATTCACACCTAGCTCCAACAGACAATGTCCCACCCTGGTCATTCCACAGATATATAAACCCATTTTTCCTACTTCCAACAGACCTCACAACCTCTGAGGATGCTTGCCATAGATGCAGGCGAAACGTCAGGAGAAAAATTGCCTCCAGAACATGGCCATATAGCCCGGAAAAACCTACAACAACCCAATAATAATATAATTAATAATAATATAAGTAATATTAATATTATTATTGTTATTAATACTGGCTAAGCAGTGTAATTTCTCCAGTGGTGTAGGGCGCAGACACCCTGTGATAATAGGTGAACTACAACTCCCAAACTCAAGGTCAATGCCCACCAAACCCTTCCAGAATTTTCGGTTGGTCATGGGAGTCCTGTGTGCCAAGTTTGCCCCAGTTCTGTCGTTGGTGGGGTTGAGAATGCTCTTTGATTGTAGGTGAACTATAAATCCCAGCAACTACAACTCCCAAATGTCAAGGTTCTATTTTCCCCAAACTCCAACAGTGTTCACATTTGGGCAAATTGGGTATTCATGCCAAGTTTAGTCCAGATCTATCATTGTTTGAGTACACAGTGCTTTCTGGAGATAGGTGAACTACAACTCCCAAGCTGAAGGCCAATGCTCAACTAACCCTTTCATTATTTTTTGCTGGTCATAGGCGTTCTGTGTGCCAAGTCTGGGCCAATTACATCTCTAGTGGAGTTCAGAATGCTCTTTGATTGTAGGTGAACTATAAATCCCAGCAACTACAACTCGCAAGGTCCAGAGAATGAAAATTCATCCTGCCTATCAAATATTTACATGACGATTCATAACAGTAGCAAAATTCCAGTTATGAAGTAGCAACGAAAATAATTTTAGGGTTGGGGGTCACCACAACATAAAGGGAACTGTATTAAAGGGTCGCGGCATTGGGAAGGTTGAGAAGCTGGCTGGCACAACCTGGGGATCACAACCAGACACAATGAAGACATCTGCACTTGACAGTGCCTAAAGCAAACTTTTGTTGAGAGGTGATTAGATGTCCTTGCTTGATTCCTCTCTGTTGTTATGCTGTTGTAATTTTGGAAGCAGAAGCATGTGGACAATTTCAACAGAAAGGAGGAAACCATGAAAATGAACAAAATCTGGCTACCAGTATTAAAAAAAACTCCAAAATTACAACAGCACAACAACAGAGAGGAAACAAACAAGGACATCTAATCACCTCTCAACAAAAGTTTGCTCCAGGCACTGTCAGGCCATTATATGCTAATCAAAGTGGTCAGTTGAAACATTCACACCCAGCTCCAGCAGACAAGAGTCCTTTGTCCCACCCTGGTCATTCCACAGATATATAAAGCCATTTTCCTAGTTCCAACAGACCTCACTACCTCTGAGGATACTTGCCATAGATGCAGGCGAAACGTCAGGAGAGAATGCCTCTAGAACATGACCATATAGCCTGAAAAAGCCTACAACAACCCAGTGATTCCAGCCATGAATGCCTTCGACAATACATAGTCTAGACACATTCTGTTTATCTTGAATGTTTTCCTGCAAGCTTTCCCCCTTTTTTGTGATTGCAAACTCATTGCATTTTTGACGCTCCGCCCTTGACTTCCTTTTCTCTGACCGTCTTTCCTTTGCAGCTGTCAGAAGAGCGAGAAAAGAAAACCCTAGAAAACTACACATCCAGACTGCAAAAAAGAAGATTAAACCAATAGTTGCAGGTTTGCGGCTAGCGAGAAGGCTCCTAAGGGAAAGAATGGTGAGCTTTTAAACGTAAACATTTGGGTGCATCTACACTGTAGAATTAATGCAGTTTAATACAGCTTTAACTTCCAATCCCAGTAGTTGTAGTTATACAATGTCTTTCAGCCAAACAGCTCCCAGGATTCTATATTATTAAGCCATGGAAATCAAACTGCATTATTATTATTATTATTATTATTATTATTATTATTATTATTATTATTTTGACTAGAATTTTGAAGATTGTATATTTCTATATATGTGTGTGTAGCAATATATATATTACTGGGTGGCCTTAAGTATTTTCTGTTGGTCATGGAGGTTCTGTGTGGGAAGTTTGCCCCATTTCTGTCGTTTGTGGGTTTCAGAATGCTCTTTAATTGTACTGAACTACAAATCCCAGTAACTACAAATCCCAAATGTCAAGGTCTATTTCCTCCAAACTCCAGCTGTGTTCATATGTGGGCATATGGAATATTCGTGCCAAGTTTGGTCCAGATCCATCATTGTTTGAGTCCACGGTGCTCTCTGGATGTAGGTAAACTACAACTCCAAACTCAAGGTCAATGCCCACCAAACCCTTCCAGTATTTTCTGTTGGTCATGGAAGTCCTGTATGCCATGTTTGGTTGAATTCCATCATTGGTGGAGTTCAGAATGCTCTTTGATTGTAGGTGAACTATAAATCCCAAATGTCAAGGTCTATTTCCCTTAAACTCCATCTGTGATCATATTTAGGCATATGGAATTTTTGTGTCAAGTTTGGTCCAGATCCATCATTGTTTGAGTCCTCAGTGCTCTCTGGATGTAGGTGAACCACAACTCCCAAACTCATGGTCAATGCCCACCAAACCCTTCCAGTATTTTCTGTTGGTCATGGGAGTTCTGTGTGCCAAGTTTGGTTCAATTCCATCAGTGGAGTTCAGAATGCTCTTTGATTGTAGGTGAACTATAAATCCCAGCAACTACAACTCCCAAATGACAAAATCATAATTTTTTGAGTGATGGTCACTCCTTGTGTAGTGAGACGTTTTGTTGCCAAATTTGGTGTGATTTCGTTCATTGGTTCTTTTGTTTTTAAGGAACTCATTATGCACAGAGCATTTTTATATATATAGATTTATTATTATTTATTTAGACCATTTCTGGGGCATGGTACCGAGACAGCTCTGGTCGCCTTAGTGGATGATCTGCGTCGGGAGCTCGACAGGGGGAGTGTGTCCCTGTTGGTGCTGCTCGACCTCTCAGCGGCTTCGATACCGTCGACCACGGTATCCTTCTGGGACGCCTCGCGGGGATGGGTCTTGGAGGTACTGTTTTGCAGTGGCTCCGGTCATTCCTGGAGGGTCGATCTCAGAAGGTGTTGTTGGGGGACACCTGTTCAACCCCACAACCATTGTCTTGTGGGGTTCCTCAGGGCTCAATATTGTCTCCCATGTTGTTTAACATCTACATGAAGCCGCTGGGGGAGATCATCCGGAGTTTCGGGATACGGTGTCATCTGTACGCGGATGATGTCCAACTCTGTCACTCCTTTCCACCTGCTACTAAGGAGGCTGTCGAGGTCCTGAACCGGTGCTTGGCCGCTGTGACGGTCTGGATGAGGGCGAACAAATTGAAATTGAATCCAGACAAGACAGAGGTACTCCTGGTCAGTCGCAAGGCCGAACAGGGTATAGGGTTACAGCCTGTGCTGGATGGGGCCGCACTCCCCCTGAAGATGCAGGTTCGCAGCTTGGGTGTGACCCTGGACTCATCGCTGAGCCTGGAACCCCAGGTTTCGGCGGTGACCAGGGGAGCATTTGCGCAGCTAAAGCTTGTGCGCCAGCTGCGCCCATACTTGGGAAGTCTGACTTGGCCACGGTAGTCCACGCTCTGGTTACATCCCGTTTAGACTACTGCAACGCTCTCTACGTGGGGTTGCCTTTGAAGACAGCTCGGAAGCTCCAACTAGTCCAACGCTCGGCAGCCATGATTTTAACAGGAGCGGAGCGCAGGGAGCATACAACCCCCCTGTTGCGCCAACTCCACTGGCTACCGATCTGCTACCGGGCTGAATTCAAAGTGCTGGCGTTGGCCTTTAAAGCCCTAAACGGTTCCGGCCCAAGCTACCTATCTGACCGCATCTCTGCCTATGAACCCACCAGGAGTTTGAGATCTTCCGGGGAGACCCTGCTCTCGATCCCGCCTGCTTCTCAAGCTCGGCTGGCGGGGACGAGAGATAGGGCCTTCTCGGTGGTGGCTCCTCGGCTGTGGAACGCCCTTCCTACGGACATTAGACTAGCACCATCTCTAATGGTATTCCGCAAAAAGGTGAAGACCTGGATGTTTGTGCAGGCGTTTGAGTAATTTAGTGCAATCTGGTAATGGAACATAGGAATGGAACAATGGACGACGAACCTGGACTACACTTGGATGATGAGAAGATTGGGTACGGTTGTTTTTTGTAATAATTGTGCATTGTAATTGCTTATTGGTAATTTATGGATAATGTGTTAAGTCAATTGTTATATGTTGTATGGAACCACTGCTGTTTCTACTGTTTTTACTGTTTGTGAACCGCTGTGAGTCGCCTTCGGGCTTGAGATACAGCGGTATATAAGCAAAGTAAATAAATAAATAAATAAAAACTAAAAAAATACACCCTTTCTTGCTAGAAGGTTATTATGTATATATTTGTTTTCAGTTCTCAATAGCTTATATTTACTCCTTCATCTTGTTTTAGGGATATAATGCTATTTTCCTTTTGCCATTTTATTCTTACCAATATTATTCACCGGGGCAAGAAAACGTAATCAAACCCCTCCTGACAAAGAGCCATCCAGCCATAGATATAGATAGATAGATAGATAGATAGATAGATAGATAGATAGGGAGTTGTAGTTGCTGGGATTTATAGTTCACCTACAATCAAATAGCATGATAGAATTGAACCAGCCAGGGCATACAGGACTCCCATGACCAACAGAAAACATTAGAAGAGATTGGTGAGCATTGACCTTGAGTTTGGGAGTTGTAGTTCACCTACATCCAGAGACTACCATAGACTCAAACAATGATGGATCTGGACCAAACTTGACACAAATATTCCATATGCCCAAATATGAACACAGATGGAGTTTGGGGGAAATAGACCTTGACATTTCGGATTTGTACTTACTGGGATTTATAGTTCACCTACAATCAAAGAGTGTTCTGAACCCCACCAAAGACAGAATTGGGGCAAACTTCCCACACAGTACCCCCGGGACCAACGGAGAAGGAAGAAGATCATCACTAAAAAAAAAATGATTTTGTCATTTGGGAGTTGTAGTTGCTGGGATTTATAGTTCACCTACAATCAAAGAGCATTTTGAACTCCACCAACGATGGAATTGAACCAAACATGGCATACAGGACTTCCATGACCAACAGAACACACTGGAAGGGTTTGGTGGGCATTGACCTTGAGTTTTGGAGTTGTAGTTCACCTACATCCAGAGAGCACTGTGGACTCAAATAATGATGGATCTGTACCAAACTTGGCATGAATATTCCATATGCCCAAACATGAAGGCAGATGGAGTTTGGGGGAAAAGGACCTTGACATTTAGGAGTTGTAGTTCCTGGGATTTATAGTTCACGTACAATCAAAGAGTGTTCTGAACCCCACCAATGACAGAATTGGGGCAAACTTCCCACACAGAACCCCCGTGACCAACAGAAAATACTCAAGGCCATCCAGTCCAACTCCCTTCACCAGGGCAAGAAAACATAATCAAAGCCCTCCTGACAAAGAGCCATCCAGCCATAAATATGGAGAGAAATTATGATGTCGCACGCTGGGCCTGTGCATATGACTGTAGACAGGACGTAAATTCTGTGTGCCCAACAGGACGCCGGGGCTGCCTCAGATTAAAGGCCCTTGGACCCCCCCCCCCAAAAAAAAACAAGGTTCTGTAGAGGCTTAAAGTAAGTCCAACAAAGTTCTTTATTGATGAAAAACAAACAGGTTCTTTAAAGCTTTCTTAACAGTCTATAGGCTTTTGCAATCTTGTTCACTGGGAACAGGCACTATCTTCATAACTGTAACTAATGGGGAAATCCTTAACTTCTAATCTGGGCAGTCTGTCTTTGCTCTGTTGGCGTGGAGCCCCTGCACCCTGTACCAACTGTGTCTGGCTTCCGTGAGCGACCCTTACCAAGCAGAGCTTTGTAGACTTCCCGGGGGAAAAAGAAGGAATTCAGGCTGCTGTGATGGCTGGCTGAAGACTTGCAAAGGAGCTATAAGGCTGCAAAATCCACAGCCAAGCTGTGAGGCCTTTTCTCCCCAGCCAAGCTGTACACTGTAGGCTGTATATCTCCCCGGCCAAGCCGTAGAAGACGAAGCTTTCTGCAGGAGCTCTTCGTTTTATGTCCTGCGCGAAAGGCTTCTCTGTGAGAACTGAACTCAAACTGGCTCCTATTCCCTCCAAAACTCAAAAAGGGGCGGGACCAGGGAACCTAACTATAATTGACAGGTGGCTTGCCCTATGATTGCAAACTATTACAGGAAGCCACCCTGCTGCAAAATCCCAAGCCTGGGATTGCAAACAGACATTTAATTCAAAGCAAATAAAATTGGAGCTCCTGGAACAGCTGTTCCAGAACAATATGATTCACACACAAAGAGAGATATAGTATCATACATTTGAAAGGGACCCCTGAAGAAGGACAATGATATGTTGCATGTCTTAGAGTGGGCAAACCAGACACTCTCCACATCAACACTGGCAAAGAAACAGCAAGAAATACTGTTTACTCACAAGCAGAAAGGAATTACATAGATTAGAAACCAACACTTTCTCATTACTTTATTTCCCAGATCAAGAGACTGGGCCACAGCAACGCCTGGCAGGGGACAGCTAGTATAATCTATAATGGTTTACTTTTTCTCAGCTTCCCTTGAATATACGATAAATTGGTAGTTGCATGCTATGGCCTCATGTACATTACCATATAATACAGTTTGAAATGGAGTTCTATGGTCATTGTGGAGATGCGTGTGATGCATTTCCTTGTCACTTAACCATTAATCTGTATTATTAGCAGCGCAAAAAATTGCGTTTACGATAACATTGCTTTGAGTGACTTAAATTGTACTCTCATTTCTGGAGACGTTTGCGTTTTGCATTTCGACAGCGACTTCCTGTGTGGCCTGCAAGTTTTTGAATTGTCACGTGAGCCACATCTTCGACTTCTCTTCTGCAAAATGAAATGTAAGACCTAAAGTTAAAAAGGGCTCTTTTATTTTGGAAGTCGGACTCTCTGGTCGTGTGCGATGTGGATCCGGAGCTGATGGAGAAACTGAAGAAATTCCGCTTCCGGAAAGAGACCGACAACGCAGCGATTGTCAGTGAGTTGCCACTCTGAACACTTCCAACCCTGGTTGCATCTACACTGCAGAATTAATGCGGTTTGACACTCCTTTGACCACCTTGGCTCAATGCTATTGGATCTAGAGCTGTCGCTTGGTGAGGCTCGAGCACTCTTTGGCAGAGAAGGCAAAAGGTCCTTGTAAAACTACAATTTCTTGAGAAACTGCAAGTCGCTTCTGGTGTGAGAAAATTGGCCATCTGCAAGGATGTTGCCCAGGGGACATTGCTCTGATGTTTTTGATGTTTTTACCATCTTTGTGGGAGGCTTCTCTCACGTCCCTGCATGGGGAGCTGGAGCTGACAGAGGGAGCTCATCCATGCTCTCCACAGATTCGAACAGCCATCTGCAAGGACATTGCCCAGAGGACGCCCTGATGTTTTTGATGTTTTTACCATCCTTGTGGGAGGCTTCTCTCATGTCCCCGCATGGGGAGCTGGAGCTGACAGAGGGAGCTCACCCGCGCTCTCCATGGATTCGAATAGCCATCTGAAAGGACGTTGCCTAGGGGATGCTCAGGTGTTTTTGATGTTTTTACCATCCTTGTGAGAGGCTTTTCTCACGTCCCCGCATGGGGAGCTGGAGCTGACAGATAGAGCTCACCCGCGCTCTCCCCAGATTCGAATGGTCATCTGCAAGGATGTTGCCCAGGGGACGCCCAGATGTTTTTGATGTTTTTACCATCCTTGTGGGAGGCTTCTCTCATGTTCCTGCATGGGGAGCTGGAGCTGACAGAGAGAGCTCATCCACGCTCTCCATGGTTTTGAACGGCCATCTGCAAGGACGTTGCCCAGGAGATGCCCTGATGTTTTGAATGTTTTTACTATCCTTGTGGGAGGCTTCTCTCATGTCCCTGCATGGGGAGCTGGAGCTGACAAGAGGGAGCTCATCCATGCTCTCCATGGATTTGAACGGCCATCTGCAAGGACGTTGTCCAGGGGATGCCCTGATGTTTTGATGTTTTTACCATCCTTGTGGGAGGCTTTTCTCATGTCCCCGCATGGGGAGCTGGAGCTGAGAGAGGGAGCTCACCCACGCTCTCTCTAGATTCAAACCTGCTACCTGTCGGTCTTCAGTCCTGCTGGTACAAGGGTTTAACCCACTGTGCCACCGGGTTCAAGAGGTGTCAAACTGCATTAATTCTACAGTGTGGATGCAATATCTGAATCGACCACTTGATGGCACCAAAGAGCATTCGCCTGCAACTTTTCCAATGACACTTTTAATAGCAGAAGTAATAACTGAGGGTGCTTCCAGACAGCACTAAATTACGGGTTTTAAACAGGGGTTAAACAATCCCAAGAGGTCCACATACAGACCTGTCGGTGCTGGGATCTCTGCCTCTGTTGTCCAGACTTAATGCTTTGTTGTGAGATTTAGAACAGTGTTTCTCAACCTTCCTAATGCCGTGACCCCTTAATACAGTTCCTCATGTTGTGCTGACCCCCAACCATGAAATTATTTTCATTGCTACTTCACAACTGTCATTTTGCTACTGTTGTCCCGTGATATGAGATTAGGTCTCTGGTTGGAGAGAGCTAAGGACACATTAATGTAGTGGTTCTCAACCTTCCTAATGCCACGACCCCTTAATAGAGTTCCTCATGTTGTGCTGACCCCCAACCATAACATTATTTTCGTTGCTACTTCACAACTGTCATTTTGCTACTGTTGTCCCGTGATATGAGATTAGGTCTCTGACTGGAGGGAGCTAAGGAAAAGTTAATGCAGTGGTTCTCAAGCTTCCTAATGCCGTGACCCCTTAATCCAGTTCCTCATGTTGTGCTGACCCCCAACCATAACATTATTTTCGTTGCTACTTCACAACTGTCATTTTGCTAGTGTTATGATTCATCATATAAATATCTGATATGCAGGATGTATTTGATACAAATACACGATATACCCAAATTTGAATACTGGTGGAGTTTGTTTTGGGGGGGGGGGGAATTGATTTTGTCATTCGGGAGTTGTAGTTCCTGGGATTTATAGTTAATCTACAATCAAAGAGCATTCTGACCTCCACCAATGAGGAAATTGAACCAAACTTGACACACAGAACTCCCATAACCAAGAGAAAATACTGGAAAGGTTGCTGGGCATTGACCTTGAGTTTTGGAGTTGTAGTTCACCTGCATCCAGAGAGACAAAAACGATCAGCTTTCTCTCTCCGTAGTGAAAGTCGACAAAGAAAGGCAGATGGTCGTACTGGAGGAAGAATTTCAGGTAGGCACAACTTTCTCTACCTTAAGAAAAACGATTGAAAAGGGGGGGGGGGAATCCTTCTTTCTCTCTCCTTCTTTCCTTCCCTCCCTCCCTCTTTCCTTCCTTCCCCTTTTTAGGGGTTTTTCAGCCTAAAAAAGGGGGTTGAAAAACTCGGTTTATACTCGAGTATATAGGGTAGTTATTATTATTTTATTCCCCCCCCCGCCTCTGCTCGTGTCTCGAGGCAAGTTACAGCATAATTAAAACACATAAACATTGTAAAAAATTCTATAAATACTAATATTAAAATGTATTTCTGATGATGGCCGTGTAGACTCATGTATCCCAGTTCAAAGCAGATAATCTGGATTCAGAAACTGGATTGCACGGCGGTGTAGATCCAGCCGGAGATTTCCCTTCCCTTCCTGTTTCGTTGCCCCAAAATCCCCTACCAATGTCCTCTCTTTTGCTCTCCGCCCTTCGCACAATTATTATTATTATTATTATTATTATTAATATTATTATTAACTTTATTTATACCCCGCTAATATCTCCCGAAGGACTTGATGTGGCCCCAGGTTTCGGCGGTGACCAGGGGAGCATTCGCACAGTTAAAACTTGTGCGCCAACTGCGCCCGTACCTTGGGAAGTCTGACTTGACCACGGTAGTCCACGCTCTGGTTACATCCCATCTTGACTACTGCAACGCTCTCTACGTGGGGTTGCCTTTGAAGACAGTCCGGAAGCTCCAATTAGTCCAACGGGCGGCAGCCATGATACTAACAGGAGCGGGGCGCAGGGAGCATACAACTCCTCTGCTGCACCAGCTCCACTGGCTGCCGATATGCTACCGGGCTCAATTCAAAGTGCTGGCGTTGGCCTTTAAAGCCCTAAACGGTTCTGGCCCAACTTATCTATCCGAACGTATCTCAGCCTATCAGCCCACCAGGACCCTAAGGTCTTCTGGGGAGTCCCTGCTCTCTATCCCGCCGGCTTCACACGTGCGGCTGGCGGGAACGAGAGACAGGGCCTTTTCTGTGGTGGCCCCTCGGCTTTGGAACACCCTCCCCATAGAGGTACGATCAGCCCCCTCGCTGATGGTGTTTCGGAATAGATTGAAGACATGGATGTTTAAACAAGCATTCGGTTAATCCGTTGCAACGAATTTTGTTGACTAAAGGATTGGTAATCATGGATGATGAATTTTGGACTGCGATTCCAGTTATGAGATGCATGGGATTATTATTGGTGGCCCAATAATTTGTATTGTATATGTGTTTTATGCTTTTAAACTGAATACTGTTTTTTAAATGTTGTAAACCGCAATGAGTCGCCGACTTAGGCTGAGATATTAGCGGTATACAAGCGTATAAATAAATAAATAAATAAATAAATAAATAAATAAATAAATAAAATAAGGCCACCAACAAAACAACAGCATACAAATATAACAGTAAAAACTCATAAAGCAAATAATAAAACATCAGGCAAAACAATTAAACACTAAAAACAATGACAACATGATGCATTTAAAACCTAAGGCCGGGCCAAATGTAATGGACAAAATTTAAAAGTGCTGGACATGACAGGTGAAATGTAGAGGTTTTGGAGGTAGGTGCAATGTGCAGACAATCCTAAATCTCTAACAAAGTGCATTTGGGACATGATGCTAGGAGTTTCCTATTCTGGAAAGGCACACTGAACAGCCAGGTCTTCAGGCTCTTCCTAAAGATTGCCAACGTTGGGGCTTGTCTGATGTCCTTGAGGAGAGAGTTCCAGAGTTGGGGGGCCACTACAGAGAAGGCCCTGTCCCTCGTCCCCACCAAACGCGCTTGCGACACAGGTGGGATCGTGAGCAGGGCCTCTCCGGATAATCGAAGGGCTCATGTGGGTTCATATATGGAGATGCGGTCACGCAGGTAGGTGGGCCTCAAACTGTTTAGGGCTTTGTAGGTGAGCACCTGCACCTTGAATTGGGAACGGAAGATGAACAGCAGCCAATGGAGCTTTTTAAACAGGAGGGTTGACCTCTCTCTGTAAGGAGCGCCTGTTAACATCCTGGCCGCTGCTCGTTGGACCAGTTGAAATTTCCGAGCCGTTTTCAAGGGCAGCCCCATGTAGAGCGCATTACAGTAGTCCAATCTAGAGGTGACCAAGGCATGGAGCACCCCGGCCAAATCAGCCTTTATGAGGTACGGTCGCAGTTGGCGCACGAGTCTCAATTGTGCAAAAGCCCTCCCGGCCACCGCCGACGCCTGAGCCTCAAGCATAAGTGATGAATCCAAGAGGACTCCCAAACTGCGGACCTGTGACTGCGCAGAGTTTCCCTTTCCTTCCGAATTTGAGCATGACACGAAGCGACTCCGCTTTGTCCCCGAAGAAGTCCCATCATCAGCTCTCTTCCTGCCTCCTTGACAGGAGAAAAGTCTTCCCGTGCGTTCGAAATTACAAGGCTGGGTTAAAAGCAAATTGAATTCCAGATCAAATTTAACTTCCCGAGGGACCGGTGCGCTGATGGCGTCATTTGCTTTCATATTTAATTCAATATGTTATACAACCCTCCTGTGCATTAGCAAAATGTTAATCAAATGGCAGCGCGGAATCGCTGCTCGATTGTGGTTTTTGGAGAAAGTAGAGGCTGGCGGAAGGGGAAACGGGGCGCTCGCTTCATGCCACTCAAAGGCTGACAGATTGAATTAAATAGGAAGCCAAGAGATATCATCAACACGTTGTTCCTCATCTACACTGCCACATAATGCAGTTCAGTTAAGCTGCATTATATGAATTTGAAACTGCAGTGGAGACGGGGCCTTAGCTCATTGAAAGGCCCAACTAATGCTCAGGTACATCACTTTGTTGATTTTCCATACAGAAAACTATGGTTGGATCTACACTGCTATATAATCCAGATTATCAAAGCAGATCCACATCTGCTTCGAACTGGATTATCTGAGTCTAAGGAGTCTAATCGTGCACTGTATTGATTTTAGCGCCAATCGCTGCTAGGGAGTCTTTTTTCAGAGACAAAAGTGGCATACAAATTAATAATCCATATAAATAAAAAGATAATGTTCGTTTGTGGGATTAACAGAACTCAAAACCACTGGATGAATTGACACCAAATTTAGACACAAGACACCTATCAGGCCAACAAGTGACCATCACTTATAAAACACTGAAAAACACAACAGAAGGGACTTAAAAAGCTAAAAAAATAAAAAATACACTACAATGCACGCACACAACCACATATATATACACAAACACATATATACACACATATGCATATACACACACAAAACACATACACAGAAAGGAGGGAGGAAGGAAGGAAGGAAGGAAGGAAGGAAGGAGGGAAGGAGAGGAGAAAGGAAAGAAAGGTAGAGAAGGAAGGAAGGAGAGAAGGAGGGAGAGAAAGAGGGAAAGAAGGAGGGAAAGAAGGAAAGAAAGAAGGATAGAGAAGAAAGGAAGGAGAAAAAGAGGGAGAGAAAGAGGGAAAGAAGGAGGAAAGGAGAGAAGGAAAGAAAGAAAGGTAGAGAAGGAAGGAAGGAGAGAAGGAGGGAGAGAAAGAGGGAAAGAAGGAGGGAAGGAGAGAAAGAAGGATAGAAAGGATAGAAAAGGAAGGAAGGAGAGAAGGAGGGAGAGAATGAAATGAAATGAAAGAGGGAAGGAAGAGAAGGAACAAAAGACAGAAAGAGGGAAGGAAGGAAGGAAGGGAAGGAAGGAAGGAAGGAAGGAAGGAAGGAAGGAAGGAAGGAAGGAAGGAAGGAAGGAAGGAGGGAAGGAGAGGAGGAAGGAAGGTAGAGAAGGAAGGAAGGAGAGAAGGAGGGAGAGAAAGAGGGAAAGAAGAAGGGAAAGAAGGAGGGAAGGAGAGAAAGAAGACAGAAAGAAGGATAAAGAAGGAAGGAGAGAAGGAGGGAGAGAATGAAATGAAGTGAAAGAGGGAAGGAAGGAGAGAAGGAACGAAAGACAGAAAGAGGGGAGGACGGAGAGAAGGAACGAAAGACAGAAAGAGGGGAGGAAGGGAGGGAGGAAAGAGACAAGGAAGGATGGAACCAAAGAGCAAAGGAAGTGAGAAAAGAAACAGGTAGAGAGGGAAGAAAGAAGAAGGGAAAGAGGGAGGGAAGGTTGGCCACAGCAACGAGTGGCGGGTACAGCTAGTCTATATAAATAAAAATGTAATGTTTGTTTGTGGGATTAACATAACTCAAAAGCCACTGGACGAATTGACACGAAATTTAGACACAATACACCTATCAGGCCAACGAGTGACCATCACTCAAAAAACCGAAAAACACAACAGAAGGAACTTAAAAGACCAAAAAAGCAAAAAGACGCTACAGCGCATGCGCAAAAACAACTCCCCCGGTAAACAAAACACACAAAAGCATATCCACACTCTCTTTAGGACTACAGCTCCCAGCATCCCTTAGGTGCTGGGAGCTGTAGTCCTATTACATTACCATTATTGTACTCCTTCGAAAATAATGCATCTTTTTTCTTATCATCTATAGGATATCTCTCCGGATGAGCTAAGGAACGAACTACCGGAACGGCAACCTCGATATCCTTCTCGTACTTTTGGAAGGGAAACGAAATAGTTTTGGCCCTGGAAAGGGACACTATTTTTGTTTACATACCAGATGAAGTTGTCCTTCTCTGTACACATGGTGGTTTGAATGCTAGACTCATATTTTCAGAGGCTGAATTCCCATTTGCTTCCTTGACTATTGTGCCTGTACCTTTGTCGCCTATAGCTATAAATACATCCATGAAGACGGGCGCATCTCCTACCCGCTCTGCTTCATCTTCTGCAGCCCAGTCGGTGAGAAACAGTGATTTCTTGCTCCCCTTGATTTCTGTCCCATTCGGATGATGGCCTTGGGTTCTCAGTGCAAAGAAAGCTTTGAGGAGGAGATGCCTGGGAGCCTGTAATAGTGGCTTCAGTTATATACATGGCACTAATTTTTGCCAAGGCCTTTCCATATTATCTAGTTCATAAGGCTATATATTTATATTTATATTTATTTATTTGAAACATTTATATTCTGCCCTTCTCACCCCGAAGGGGACTCAGGGCGGAGCACAGCATATACACGGCAAACATACAATGCCAGGACACAAATTCACATACAATACATAAACAATAAAAAAACATTTATCAAAATATTAAAATACACCATTTAAAACCGTCCTAGTCATTCACGTCAAATCTAATTGGCCCTGTCATCTTTCCCATCCCCGCTTCATTGCCCTGTCCCGAAAGCTTGGTCCCACAGCCAAGTTTTAACCATCCTTCTAAAGGGCAGGAGGGAGGGGGCCGTCCTGATCTCACCAGGAAAGGAGTTCCATAGCCGGGGGGCAATCACCGAGAAGGCCCTGTCACTCGTCCCCACCAATCGCGCCTGTGACAATGGCGGGACGGAAAGCAAGGCTTCCCCAGAGGATCTTAATCTCCGTGATGATTCATAGGGGGAGATGCGTTCGGACAGGTAAGTTGGGCCAAGGCCATTTAGGGCTTTCTAGGCCAAAGTCAGCACTTTGAATTGTGCCCGGCAGCAAACTGGCAGCCTGTGGAGCTGGCGTAACATGGGAGTTGTATGCTCCCTGTATGCCGCCCCACTTATTAACCTGGCTGCCTCTTGTTGGACTATTTGAAGCTTCTGAGCAGTCTTCAAAGGCAACCCCACGTAGAGTGCGTTGCAGTAGTCTATCCTAGATATAACAAGAGTGTGGACCACCATGGCCAAGTCTGACTTCCCAAGGTACGAGCGCAGTGTGCGCATAAGTTTTAATTGTGCGAAATATAGTGGTGCCCTCATCATGATAGCAACAATAAAAACAACAATAACAACAACAGCAATAATAATGAACGGTAAAGAGAAAGGTTTTCCCCTGACTTTTAAGTCCACTCGTGTCCAATTCTGGGGGTTGGTGCTCATCTCCATTTCTAAGCCAAAGAGCCGGCGTTGTCCATAGACACCTCCAAGGTCATGTGGCTAGCATGACTGCATGAAGCACCGTTACCTTCCCGCTGGAGTGGTACCTATTGATCTACTTGTTGCACTCCAGGACAGGAGTAATCCTCTGATTTAAACACCTTACGTTGAATAGGAAAAAACCAATCCTTTTATTGAAGATAAGTAAAAAAAAGTAAAGCACAAAGCACTTTAAAGAAATGGGTAAATCCAATTAGGTAAGAAGATAAGTAGAAACAAATTAGTCCAAGGTAGAGTTCAGCAAAGTCCATAAAAGCAAAGTCCACACAACTCTAATACAATCCAGAAAATCAGGAATACATTGATTCAAGGCTTGGGTAAGCAATCATGAAATCCAGGAATCAAAACCATGAAACAAGAAATATCTTAGCATGAATCTTTAAAGCGAGGCTTCTATGAACAAGGACAAGAACTTGGCATGATTCTAAACGATGCTTCATCTGACTACACATCCCAAACTTGAGACTTTTATCCCCTCGTTAGCTAGGTCACTAGCGGTCAGACATTGGTTTCTCTTTACTTGAGGCTTATTGTTTTCTGTCGAAGCCTGGCAGAGCGCCGAAGCCATTGCTCAGCTCTCCTGTTTTGACTGATCTCTTCTCGTCTATCTCTTGGCTCATTATCTACTTGCTCATTAATTTTTGCAGCTGGGGCAGGTGCCGAGCCATTTTCATGTTTTCTCTCATGAGAACACTCTGGTAACAATTCAGAAAGCAAACCATCATCCCCACACCATCATCCCTCAGGGACATTCTCATGGGAAACTACAGGGATCTCTTAGGTCATTCTCTGCATCAATATCACTGACCAAACCATTGCCATCTCATTTTGAATCTCATTAACATCATTCCCCACATCCAAAGCACCCTGATCCTGAAACACAATCACAGGCTGAACTCCAACACTACTCACATTTTGTAAGACTGTAGGATCTATATAGCAATATTAAATAACCACTCACAAGCCGTTTTTGCTTTGAAATGGATATATTGCTTGTATCTCTGCAGCCAAGAAAGACACTACTGACTTTTTCCCACCACCACTTCCTTTTATACACCTTTCCTGCCCATCTCCTCCCTCTTCTCAGTTTCCTTATTAGAACTTGTTGCTTCACAAGTTCCAATACAAGGTTTCCAGTGCCCTCTGCTCTCTTCAAAATGTCACAGATAGAGAATTGATTCAGCCAGGATGATTCAGTCAGGATGTCACGGAGGGAATTTGTGATGTCTTCATGCTGTCAGAAATTGACTTCTGACACACTTGCATATTTTTGAACTGCTAGGTTGGCAGAAGCTGGGGCTGAGAGCGGAAGCTTATGCCACTTCTCGGATTCGAACCTGTGACCTTTCAGTCAGAGGCTCAGCGGTTTAACCCACTGTGCCACCGTGGGTTCCCATAATAATAATAATAATAATAATAATAATAATAATAATAATAATAATAAATGTATTGCTGAAGGATTTCATGGGTTGTTGTGAGTTTTTGGGCTGTCTGGCTATGTTCCAGAAGCATTCTCTCCTGACGTTTCACCCACATCTATGGCAGGCATCCTCAGAGGTTGTAAGGTCTGTTGGAAACTAGAAAAATGGGTTTTATATATCTGTGGAATATCCAGGGTGGGAGAAAGAATGTATATGTGCATTGTAATCCGGCGAAATATAAATAATGTAAATAAATAAAAAAATATGACTAACATGCTTTTCAGTCTTCTTCATGTCTAGCTTCCAAATCTTTGGTCTTCTTGGTCACCCTTCTCTGGACAACCAAGTGTGCATCTACAGTGTAGAATTAATCCAGTTTGATACCACTTTAATTGCCATAGCTCAATGCTATGGACTCCTGAGACTTGTAGAGGAGTCTAAAGACCTTAGAAGACTTTATATTGTTTACTTTATTTGTTATTTATATATTTTGCTATGATGTATTTTTTATTTTGTATTTAATCTTGTTGTATCATTTTGGGCTTGGCCTCACGTTAGCCACTCAGAGTCCCTTTGGGGAGGTGGTGGAGGGCTATAAATAAAGTTTATTATTATTATTTGTGCTGGTATGGCTGTACCAAAAGTTCCAACTTCCTTTTCTTTCTTTGAGTGTTTGCATGTATTCCAAAGTTCCATGCATTTTGCAATAAGGTGGCTTCCCTTGGTTTGCAATTATAGGGCCTATGACCCATCAATCATTGCTAAGTTTTGGTTCCGCTCCTTTCCCCAGGGCTCTGGGAGGAGAGGGAGCCATTTTAGGTCAGTCTTGCATTGGAAAACTTAGCTACAGGACGTGGATTAGCTCCACCTGTAGAGAAGCTTCGTTTCTTATGAAATTCCGGGGGGAAACAGTTCCAAAGGATTACAGCTGGAGAAACTACAAAGCCTTGACTGGTAGGTCTACTCGGGACCCAAGAAGCAGTTTGGAGCCGGGAGTAGAGCCCACACCAGCAAAGTATAGAAAGTAGATTGGCCAAGGAGGGGTTAAAAAGGGCTTTTCCTCTTAAAGAAAAGAAACAGTTCACGAAGCCAGTTGCCTGTCCCTTGTGGACAAGATTAAGAAAGCCACCAGTTGATTCAAAGCCTTGAAGCATTTGTTTATCTGTCCAGCGTATCTGTCCGAATGCATCTCCCTCTACGTCCCACCTCGGAGTCTGAGATCCTCTGGGGAGGCCCTGCTCTCGGCCCCGCCTCTGTCACAAGTGGGATTGGCGGGGACGAGGAGCAGGGCCTTCTCAGTGGTGGCTCCTCACCTATGGAATTCACTCCCCGGGGAAATTAGATCTGCAACATCCCTCCTTTCCTTCAGAAAGAAATTAAAAACATGGATGTGGGACCAGGCGTTTGGGCATTCTGGCAGATAAATAAAGGACTGTGACGACGGATAGGAATAGACAATGTGGAACGAAGTATGGACTCTGAGTTGGCGAACGCTGTGCTGAGATTGGCTATCGACTGTGAGATATATTGTTTTAATTGTTAACCATTTAATTGATGTTTTTTATATGTTATTGTATTTGTGTAGGCACCAAATTGTGCCATTTTGTAAGCCGCCCTGAGTCCCCCCTCGGGGGTTGAGAAGGGCGGGGTAGAAGTATATGAAATAAATAAAAATAAATAAATTTAATTTGTTGAAGATCTAAGAAGTATTTGATTGTTTGTTGAAGACTTAAGCAACCATAAAGGACTTTGTTAAACCTTTCAAGGTTCTAAAGACTCTGTATAGGAAAATCCTTAGGGCCTCTCACTCGAGGCACCCCGGCTTCCCACTGGGCACAAAGAGCACGTCCTGTTCAACTCCCAGGATGCCCTTGCATTGAATGGTGGTAGTTAAAGTGGGGTCAAACTGCATTAATTCTATAGTGTGGATGCATCCCAAGCCAACGATTTACCTCTCTCCCTCCTTAACTAGAGAGAAGCACCACGAATAAGTAACTCAACTGCTTGAGATACTCTGGGATGTACGAAAAATTGCCACACGTCTGCTTGTTGTGTTAATCTTCCCAGTGGGGTTCCCCAGTTATCAGGGAAAGCCGTTTTTCAACCAGTTAACAAATAATTGAGAATACTCTCTCCATTCCTGCGATATATACATACATTGCCGTCCTCTTTCTCTCTGTGGGATGATTTCCATGCCTGGCCTTAGGGAAGTGTATCTCTCTCTCTCCGAGTTCATTCCCATTTCCCAGAAATGCTGTGAATCATGCCGCCTTTTTTTTTTAATAAAATGCCGCAAACGAGGTAATGAATAATGGTAATAATAATTGCAAATAAAGGACTCTTTCTCTGCTCTTTTCCTTTCCCAGGATGTAAGCCTGAGCAGCAGATGATGTATGCGGGCAGCAAAAACCGCTTGGTGCAAGCCGCTGAGCTCACCAAGGTATTCCAGCCTTATTTCCCCCCTTTTTAGGGTCTTATTCCTAATCCTCTTGTGATAGATTTTGCTCCTTTTATTGTAGCCTTTTGACCTCTGCAAAGTCCTGTATGCCTTCGTTCTACTCTTCTTGAACTAGATCACAGCAGGTAGAACATAATAAAATAACATCTATATAAATAAAAATGTAATGTTCGTTTGTGGGATTAACAGAACTCAAAAACTATTGGACGAATTGATGCCAGGTTTGGACACAAGACACCTAACAACCCAATGTATGTATTGTCGAAGGCTTTCATGGCCGGAATCACTGGGTTGTTGTAGGTTTTCCGGGCTATATGGCCATGTTCTAGAGGCATTTTCTCCTGACGTTTCGCCTGCATCTATGGCAAGCATCCTCAGAGGTAGTGAGGTCTGTTGGAAGTAGGAAAAAAGGGTTTATATATCTGTGGAATGACCAGGGTGGGACAAAGGACTCTTGTCAGTTGAAACATTCACACCTAGCTCCAACAGACAAGAGTCCTTTGTCCCACCCTGGTCATTCCACAGATATATAAACCCTTTTTCCTAGTTCCAACAGACCTCACTACCTCTGAGGATGCTTGCCATAGATGCAGGCGAAATGTCAGGAGAGAATGCCTCTAGAACAGTGTTTCTCAACCTGGGGGTCGGGACCCCTGGGGGGGTCATGAGGGGGTGTCAGAGGGGTCGCCAAAGACCATCAGAAAACACAGTATTTTCTGTTGGTTATGGGGGTTCTATGTGGGAAGTTTGGCCCAATTTATCATTGGTGGGGTTCAGAATGCTCTTTGATTGTAGGTCAACTACAAATCCCAACAACTACAACTCCAGAATGCCAAGGTCTATTTTCCCCAACTCCACCAGTGTTCACAATTGGGCATATTGAGTATTTGTGCCAAGTTTGGTCCAGATCCATCATTGTTTGAGTCCACAATACTCTCTGATTGTAGGTGAACTACAACTCCAAAACTCAAGGTCAATGCCCACCAAACCCTTCCAGTATTTTCTGTTGGTCATGGGAGTTCTAGATGCCAAGATTGGTCCAATTCCATCGTTAGTGGAGTTCGGAATGCTCTTTCATTTTAGGTGAACTATAAATCCCTGCAAGTACAACTTCCAAATGACAAAATCAATCCCCCCAACCCCACCAGTATTCAAATTTGGGTGTTTTGGGTATTTGTGCCAAATTTGGTCCAGTGAATGAAAATGCATCCTGCATATCAGATATTTACATTACAGTTCATAACAGTAGTAAAATTACAATTATGAAGTAGCAACAAAAATAATTTTACGGTTGGGGGTCACCACAACATGAGGATCTGTATTAAGGGGTCACGGCATTAGGAAGGTTGAGAATCACTGCTCTAGAACATGGCCATATAGCCTGAAAAAACCTACAACAACCCAACCCAATGTATGTTTTCCACTCCAAAAATTGATGTTGTCATTTGGGAGTTGTAGTTACTGGGATTTATAGTTCACCTACAATCAAAGAGCATTCTGAACCCCACCAATGACAGAATTGGGGCAAACTTCCCACACAAAACCCCCATACTTAAGGCCATCCAGTCCAACTCCCTTCACAAGGGCAAGAAAACGTAATCAAAGCCCTCCTGACAAAGAGCCATCCAGCCAGATATAGATATATATATGATTCACACACACACGGATATAGTATCATAGATTTGAAAGGGACCCCTAAAGAAAGGCAATTATATGTTGCATGTTCCAGAGTAGGCAAATCAGACACTCTCCACATCAACATAGACATAGAAACAAGGAATACTATTTACCCACAAGCATAAAGACATTACATATTAGAAACCATTACTTTATTTTCCAGATCCCCAGACTGGGCCACAGCAACACGTGGCAGGGGACGGCTAGTCTATATAAATAAAAATGTAATGTTCATTTGTGGGATTAACAGAACTCAAAAACCACAGGACGAATTGACACCAAATTTGGACACAATACACCTCTCAGGCCAACCAGTGACCATCACTCATAAAAAAACTGAAAAACACAACAAAAGGGAATAAAAAGCCAAAAAATATAAAAAATACATTACAACGCATGCGCAAAATCACATATGTACACAAACACACATATATACACATATACAGAAATATATACACACATACATGCACACACAAAACACATGCATAGAAAGGGAGGGAAGGAAGGAAGGAAGGAGAGAAGGAGGGAGAGAAAAAGGGAAAGAAGGAGGGAAGGAGAGAAGGAAAGAAAGGTAGAGAAGGAAGGAAGGAAGGAAGGAAGGAAGGAAGGAAGGAAGGAAGGAGAGAAGGAACAAAAGACAGAAAGAGGAGGGAAGAAAGGAAGGTAGGAAAGAAGGAGAGAAGGGAAGGGAAGGGAAGGAAGGAAGGAAGGAAGGAAGGAAGGAAGGAGACAAGGAAGGATGGAACCAAAGAGAAAAGAAGTGAGAAAAGAAACAGGTAGAGAAGGAAGAAAGAAGAAGGAAAATAAAAAGAGGGAAGGAAAGAGGGAGGGAAGGAAGGAGAGAAAGAAAGAAGGAGAGAAAGTGGGAGGGAAGGTTGGCTACAGCAACACGCGGCGGGTATAGCTTGTTGTTGTTGTTCATTCGTTCAGTCGTCTCCGACTTTGTGACCTCATGGACCAGCCCACGCCAGAGCTCCCTGTCGGCCGTCACCACCCCCAGCTCCTTCAAGGTCAGTCCAGTCACTTCAAGGATGCCATCCATCCATCTTGCCCTTGGTCGGCCCCTCTTCCTTTTGCCTTCCACTTTCCCCAGAGTATAGCTAGTAACATATAAATAAATAACCTTTGTTATTTTAATATGGTGTGCTGTTCTGAAATTGGCTATGCATTATTATTATTATTATTATTATTATTATTATTATTATTATTATGCATTTATTTATTTATTTTGGAGCCCGGTGATGCAGTGAGTTAAACCACTGAGCTGCTGAGCTTGCTTACCAAAAGGTCGCAGGTTTGAATCTGGGGAGTGGGGTGATCTCCCGCTGTTAGCCCCAGCTTCTGTCAACCTAGCAGTTCGGAAAAACATGCAAATGTGGGTAGATCAATAGGTACCGCTCTGTCGGGAAGGTAACAGCACTCCATGCAGTCATGCTGGCCACATGACCTTGCTGGAGCTAGGTGTGAATGTTTCACACCTAATCAAGGTGGTCAGTTGAAACATTCACACCTAGCTCCAGCAGACAAGAGTCCTTTGTCTCACCCTGCTCATTCCACAGATATATAAACCCATTTTCCTAATTCCAACAGACCTCACTACCTCTGAGGATGCTTGCCAAAGTGCAGGCGAAACGTCAGGAGAGAATGCCTCTAGACCATGGCCATACAGCCCGAGAAAACCTACAACAACCCACTATCTGGTCATGTTCAGAAGCATTCTCTCCTGATGTTTCACCCACATCTACGGCAGGCATCCTCAGAGGTTGAGAAGTCTGTTGGAAACTAGACAAGTGGGGTGTATATATCTATGCAATAATGTCAAAGGTGAGAGAAAGAACTCTTGTCTGCTTGAGGCAAGTGTGAATGTTGCCATTGGCCACCTTGATTAGAGCTGAATGGCCTTGCAGCTTCAAAACTTGTCTGGGGGAATCCTTTGTTAGGAGGTGTTAGCTGGCCCTGATTGTTTCCTGTCTGGTTGCTGCCTGGGGGAATCCTTTGTTAGAAGGTGTTAGCTGGCCCTGATTGTTTCCTGTCTGGAATTCCCCTTGGTTTGTGTGTGTGTGTGTGTGTTGCTCTTTATTTGTCTGACATGGTGGTTGTGAGAGTGGTCCAGCATTTCTGTGTTCGCAAATAATATGCTGTGACCAGGTTGGCTGACTTCTCTGGTTGAATTAGTCTGCAGTACTCTGAAGTAACCAGGCTTTGAAGCTGCAAGGCTATTCGTTGCTAATTAAGTTGGCCAATGACAAAACTCACACTTGCCTTGAAATTTTTTCCCAAATGTTGTTACACAGTGTAATGACCTCTCTTTGTTTGATAGATTGAAAGGTTGGGGGGCTTTGGGAGAACTGAAAAGGATCCAGAAGCTGCCAAATTAGGGTTGCAAGGCTACAATGTCCTGCCATAAATGGATAAGGCCAACCAACGCAGTGGGTGTCAATGGCGTTGCCCTACTTCTTCTAGGAAGAACGCCTTACATGAGTCAGGGAAATACTAATAGGGTTTTTTCTCAGCCCAGACAGCCGTGTGACCTTCTCTTCCTTGCAAACGCTTCCCTTCTTATCTTCCCAGGTCTTTGAGATCCGTTCCACGGATGATCTGACGGAGCAATGGCTGAAAGAGCGCCTGGCCTTTTTCCGCTAATGGAAGCGGAGGGACCCCAGACGTGGCACAATCTCAACCCTTTTCCCATACCGCATAGTCTGAATCCTGCAGTTCCTAATGGCCACCCTTGCAGAGCATATCGTAAGGAAGCCTGGGAGTTGTGCTCCAGTCTGTCAATCTTACGCTTTGCACCCTTGCTGTAAAGTCAACATCACTCCGCAGTTGTGACATGCAGGAAATATAACCTTAAGAAGTGGATGTAGGTGGAGAATGTTTAAAGCAGTAGGAAAAAAATACTGGTTTGGGGGAAAGAACTGGGAATTATAATAGGCTAGCATATATACTCAGCACTGCCACTCCTTTCATCCCTTCTTTCTTTCCCCCCTTTCATGCTTATCCACTTCCCTTTCTTCTCCTTCCTTCCTTCCTTCTTTCCTTCCTTCCTTCTTTTTCCATTCCTTTCTTTCCTTTCTTTTTCCCTCCCTCCCTCGCTTCCTGCTCTTCTCTTCTGCTCTCTCCCTTCTCCAGCTCTGAAAGGGCCTGCCTCACTTCCTCCTCTTTCTCTTCCTTCCTTCTTTCTGTCTTTCCTTCCCTCCCTCCTTTCTCTCTCTTTCCCCTTTCTTCTTCCCTTCCTTCTTCCTTCCTTCTTCCTTTCCTTCTCTTCCTTCTCTTCTCTTCCTTCTCTTCCTTCCTTCTTCCTTCCTTTTCTTTCCTTCCTTTTTCCTCTCTTCCTTCCTTCCTCTTCCCTTCTTTTCCTTCCTTCCCTCTTTCCTTCTTCCCTTTTCCTTCTCCCTTTCCCTTCTACTTTTTCTTCCTCCTCCTCCTCCTTCCTTACTTCCTTCCCTTTTGTCTTTCCTTTCTTCTTTCTGTTCTTCTCATCCCCTTTCTCCCTTCTCCAGCTCTGAGAGGGCCTGCCTCACTATGTCCCCTTTCCTTTCTATTCCTTCCTTCCCTCCTGTTTCTTTTCCCTTCCTCTTTTACTTCTCTCTTTCCCCCTTCTTCTTCTTCTTCTTCTTCTTCTTCTTCTTCTTCTTCTTCTTCTTCTTCTTCTTCTTCTTTTCTTCTTCTTCTTTTCCCCTCTCCTCCTATCTCCTCCTTTTCTTTCTTCCATTTCCATCTTCTTTCCTCTTCCTCCCCTTTCTTCCTTCTCCAGCTTTGAGAGGGTCTGCCTCACAATGTCCCCTGTCCTTTCTCTTCCTTCCTTCCCTTCTGTTTCTTTCTTTTCTCTTCCTCCCTTACTTCTCTCTTTCCCTTGCTTGCTTGCTTGCTTGCTTGCTTGCTTTCTTTCTTTCTTTCTTTCTTTCTTTCTTTCTTTCTTTCTTTCTTTCTTTCTTCCTTTCTTTTTCTTTCTTTTCCTTTCTCCCTTCCTTCCTTCTCTGCCTCCTCTTTTCCCCTTCCTTCCTTCCTTCCTTCTTCCTTCCCTTCTTCCTCCTCCTTCCTTCCCTCCTCCTCCCTCCCTCCCTCCTTCCCTCCCTCCCTCTTTTCTTTCTTTCCCTCCCTCCTTCTCTTCCCTTCTTTTTCCTTTTCCCTTCCTTCTTCTTTCCTTCCTTCTTTCCTTCCTTCCTTCTCCTTCCTTCTCCTCCTCCCTCTCTTCTTTCTTTCTTTCCTCCCTTCCTTTCTTCCTTCTTTTCCTTCCTCCTCCTTCCTTCCCTCCTTCTCTTCCTCCTTCCTTCCTTCCCTCTTTTTATTTTCCTTCTTCTTTCTTCCTTCTCTACCTCTTTCTTTTCTCGCTTCTTTTGCTCTTTGGTTCCATCCTTCCTTGTCTCCTTCCTTCCTTCCCTTCCTTTCCCTTCCCTTCCCTTCCCTTCCCTTCCTCTTTCTCTCCTTCTTTCCTACCTTCCTTTCTTCCCTGCCTCTTTCTGTCTTTTGTTCCTTCTCTTCCTTCCTTCCTTCCTTCCTTCCTTCCTTCCTTCCTTCCTTCCTTCCTTTCTCCCTTCTCCAGCTCTGAGAAGGCACATCTTACAATATCTCCATGGCAATATGGCTCTCTTGGTGGCTCTTTCCTTTCTTCCATTCGTCATCCCTTCCATTCCCTTATTTTTCTCCTTCCTTCCTTCCTTCCTTCCTTCCTTCCTTCCTTCCTTCCTTCCTTCTTCCTTTCCTTCATCCCCATCTCACTTTTCTTTCCCAGTGACAATGCAGAGGGCCACTTCACCTAGCAACAGCCTTTATGATATAGACAGACAGACAAACAAACAAACAGACATGCATACTATAAATAGATAGATTGATCTAGATCAATTTCCATTTGCCATTCCATCATCTCATTCCCTATTCTAAATATGAGTCGATCAGCAACTTTTGTGCCATTAAGATCCATCCTTTCCCCCCTTTGCTGTTATTAGCTGACCATAACAATTTCTACTGTTGGAGAAAATTTCTGAAAAATGCAAATAAAGTAATTTGATCTGTTTTTTATTTATTTATTTTTGCTTTACCTGCAGCTTTCTGCTGAATTTACATTCTTAACTTTCACATTGGTGAGCTATTTGGCCCTCTTGTTCAGGCATTTGTTCACAGAATCCTAGAGTTGGAAGGGGTACCAAAAGGCCATCCAGTCCAGCCCAGGCAGGAAGACGCAATCAAAGCCCTCCCCACAGATGACCATCCATTTTTGCTTGTTATTGACTGTGGTCAAGCTGACTTCCACATACATCTGCTTCTATTATGTGGATCCCTCTCTCCATTCAACCTTCCACCACCTGATGGCGACTTCTGCCCATTGGAAAGATGCTGGCAAGGGAAAACGTGGACCACCAGATGTTCCCTGTCAAGTTCTATTAGGGAAGGCGGCCAGGGAAAGGAGGAAGTCACCTCGTGCCACCTTTAAGGCTCTAACCCAGGCTTGGGCCAACTTGAGCCCTCCAGGTGTTTTGGACTACAACTCCCACCATTCCTAACAGCCTCAGGCCCCTTCCTTTTCCCCCTCAGCTTCTTAAGCTGTTGTGCCACCTCTACAAAGTTCTGGAGAGACTTATTTTGCATAGAATTATGGAAAATATAGACCCATGTCTGATCCCACAGCAAGCTGGCTTCAGGAAAGGCAAAAGCTGCACATCGCAAGTGCTGAACCTGACTCAGCACATAGAAGATGGCTTTGAAAGGCAGCAGATCACAGGAGCTGTCTTCATAGACCTGTCAGCGGCTTATGATACTGTAAACCACCGCCTCCTCCTGAGAAAAATGTATAATATCACAAAGGACTACCACCTCACCCGCCTCATAGGAAACCTGCTACAAAACAGGAGCTTTTTTGCTGAGTTCCAGGGCCAGAGAAGCAGATGGCGGAAACAGAAGAACGGCCTGCCTCAGGGGAGCGTGCTTGCTCCATCCATGTTCAACATCTACACAAATGACCAGCCACTGCCAGAAGGGACAAAGAGCTTCATCTATGCTGATGATGGTGCCATCACTGCTCAAGTAAGGAGCTTTGAGATGATTGAACAGAAGCTCTCCCAAGCTCTAGGTGGTCTTACTGCCTATTACAGGGAAAACCAGCTGACCCCTAATCCACCTTAAACACAGACATGTGCTTTTCACCTTAAGAACAGACAAGCATCCCGAGCTCTGAGGATTATTACCTGGGAAGGAAGGAATCCCACTGGAGCATTGCAGCGCACCCAAATACCTGGGAGTCACTCTGGACCATGCTCTGACCTACAAGAAGCACTGCCTGAACATCAAGCAAAAAGTGGGTGCTAGAAATAATATCATACGAAAGCTGACTGGCACAACCTGGGGATCACAACCAGATACAGTGAAGACATCTGCCCTTGCGCTGTGCTACTCTGTTGCTGAGTACTCATGCCCAGTGTGGAACACATCTCACCACGCTAAAACAGTGGACGTGGCTCTTAATGAGACATGCCGCATTATCACGGGGTGTCTGCGCCCTACACCACTGGAGAAATTACACTGCTTATCCGGTATTGCACCACCTGACATCCGCCGGGAAGTAACAGCCAATAGTGAAAGGACAAAGACAGACTCATCTCCAGCTCATCCCTTGTTTGGGTATCAGCCAGCACGTCAATGACTTAAATCAAGAAATAGTTTTCTAAGATCTACAGAGACACTCGCTGGAACACCTGAGCAAGCGAGAGTCCAAAAGTGGCAGGCTCAAACCCAGAACCTCAACCAATGGCTGATACCAAATGAGAGACTCCCCCCTGGGCACACAGAAGACTGGGCGACTTGGAAGGCACTGAACAGACTGCGCACTGGCACCACATCTACTGTTTTAGTGTGGTGAGATGTGTTCCACTCTGGGCATGCATACCCAGCAGCAGAGTAGCATAGCGCAAGGGCAGGTGTCTTCACTGTGTCTTGTTGTGACCCCCAGGTTGTGCCAGTCAGCTTTCGTATGATATTGTTTCTAGCACCCACTTTTTGCTTGATGTTCAGGCAGGGCTTCTTGTAGGTAAGAGGGAGTGGGGTGAGCTCCCATCTGTCAGCTCCAGCTTTCCATGTGGAGACATGAGAGGAGCGTCGCACAGGATGGTAACACATCCGGGCATCGTCCCCTGGGCAATGTCCTTGCAGACAGCCAAGTTTCTCACACCAGAAGCGACATGCACTTTCTCAAGTCGCTCCTGGCACACACAAAAAAAGCTTATGTGGTCTCTGCAAACTGTATTATTTTATGATTGTGTTTTCTAAGGAAATATACTTTGGGTTTGCATTCAGGTTGCCCATTGTAGATGGTATTCCTCTATCCGCAGAAATGCCCATCCTACACTTGACCATCCAGGTGACCAATCACCTTGAAGGGAAAATTACTTATTCCTTGTCTCCTTGCTCCTTTCCGTGTCTATACACTTTGTCCTTCCAAGAGCAAATCTCTCATCCAAAGCGCTGCCTTTAATCTCATTCCAGATCAGTCTGAAGCTCTCTCCATCTATATAAACGAAGCAATAATTAGCCTCAATCTCCGGAGGATATATATGCAATCTCTGGAGTACGGTTGCTTTCCCTCCCCCCAAAAAAGCCCCTTGCAAAGTCTCCAAGGGATGATGGATCTCCAAAGTGCAGTGTTTTCCTGCCGGGCACCATCCGTCTCTCGTCTTTTGGGGCCGTAATAGCTCCGCAGTGGTTTTATAACTCTCGCCCGTCTCATATTTCTCCGTAAAATCTTTCGTCTCGGCCTCATCTTTCTTACGCTCTTCGCTTTTTTTTCTCCTCGCTTCTTATCTTTTTTTATAGAGAGAGTTCCTTCCAGCATCTCTCCATCAGTTGCCTTCCCAAGAGTGGCCAGCAAATGCCCAAGGAAGGCTGATAAAGAGGGATTCTGTGCAAATTGAGTCGTCCAAATTCAATAGTCAAAAGCGAGACCTGTCTTCTGTCTCCATCAATGGATTGAACCATAGAAAGAAAATAACTAGCCTTGGCTGAAGGCACTGGCTGGGAACTCTGTCTGTTTACATCACCGTCATCATCATGATGATAATAATAAATTGCATTTGTCGCTTACCTCTCTTCACCACGACTTCATCACAGGCAAAACAAAGGACCGTTGAAATACATATGTTAACAAAGCAGAGATTTATTTATTTATCATATCAGGAGTAAGT